GGAGGTTGACTTAGCTCCGTTCGGTACATACGTCTAAACAGTTTGATCAAGGTATTACACAGCCGAGGTGCACGCTCTCTCTCGCGCGCCACCTAACTATTTGCTCTCACTTTTAAGTAAATATATTTTAAACAAGTGGAGTTTATACGAAAAACATGCGAGCGTCGAGTCCTCGATAGGGAGGGATGGCTGCTGCGTCCCTCCCTATATGGGCCGACGCTGCACCGAGTTTCCCAGCTCTTGTTTGTCTGGCTGGTTTACTTATGCTCCCTCCGCAATGTAATTCCATTGACTGTTCAGTCTGTAGCTAAATGTCTCCTTTCAGCCGGGCGCAACTCTGCTTCCGTGTTTGTTATAAAGTTTTGCGCGTTGACGGTTCAGATAATCCTCGACGTATGACAATATTTGACGTTTGCGAGGGATTCCGCGTAGAGATAGGTGCACAGCGATACTCAGTCGTACTAATATAGGTACGCGCGGATGTATATGTGTGTGTGTGCGTGCGGGCCGAGAGAAGTTCGCAGCCTGACAGCACGCGCTGTCATACATAACATTAGTGGTTATTAACTTATTACGCGCCGCCCACCTCGCTCTCATGTTTGTGTGAAAGATAATTCAAGCTTTACCAGTGGAGTGAGTGTGTTAGTGTGTTTTTTGGCCCCAACAGAGTATTGTGTGCACAGGCAACCCCAGCCAGAGCACACCGCCGCATATTTCTATCATGAAGATACGTGTAGTGTGTGCGGGCTGGCTGGCTGATAGAGCAGCAATATACTTATAGAAATTGAAAATGTTGTTAAAATTGCATAATTTTACTACAAAGTATTCAACCAAGGAAGACATCAGCGGGCCAAGTGGTAATGTGATAGATCCTCCCTTTGTATGAAAACACACTGGTTGCTATATATGCACTACACGTCGTCTCGTGTACGGCAGCCATTCAATCTAACTTCAGAAATATGAATTCGATTCAGTGATACTTCTAACAATCTCGACACAAAATCCATCACATTACGAGATCATGCATCATATAACAGGACTGAGACTCAGGACGTGTTATCGGTGATAGGTGCAGCGTGGATGAGGTTCATAGTGATCAGGGGGAGAAATTCATTATTAATGACCATTGCATTATTTAGTGAAGGAAAGCTCATCGAGCTGAGCTTTTTGATTAGCACGATTTCCTAGCAATGGTGTCTTTAGATCCGCTGGTAGTGTAAAATTGCGATACGATACATGCAGTTAGTCTTGTATCAGTAGTTTAAGGCGTACACGTAGCCACACTCACATGCGTTTAGTAGTGTCTTTGGCATCATCAATGATTCGGTTGATGATGAAAATCATCACGGCAGCACTATCCGGTTTACAAAAGCTCTATAGGTCATTTTAAACGGAGCATCAAATTTTCCGGGAATCAGCATAGGTAGCATGTTGCTATATTGTAAGTTTCTGCTATAGCTTCATTATATGTAATAGTGAGCCAGGACTCTACACTGTGACACCGTTGATGGCTACGTCGTGCTAGTAATATGTGTGGTAGTGGTGGTGGTGGTGGTCTTTGCTACATCTGGTCTTACTGTAGCTTCGTTATTGTTTTGCCAAACATTTTGCAATACTTGATCCATAACTCCACTCTTGCTCGATTCTGCTGGGTTTGCGATGTTTTCGAATGCTTATTGTATAGTTAGAAAGATATATGAGAGTAACCTGGTTCCATGTCGTGATTACTTGTTGTTTTTACTTTGTTACACTTTGTGTCTTTTTGTGTTACGTATTTTTTATTTATATTTTTTTGATTGCAGACGATCAGCTCACTGTTGTTGGAGCTGAGCAGAGATGAGTCAGCAAAGGCTCTTGAGCATCACGCTGTGGCCATCTTGGAACGCCTGCGAGCGCACAAGAAAACCCACCGCCAGGTGTCAGCAGAGGAGATGAGGGTCGTCTTGGAGGAGAGAGATGCTGCTCTGAGAAAGGTAAACATAATCTACACTGTTTCGAGAATGGATATCTCAGGAGCGTGATGTCATGGATGTTTTTTTTTTATTGAATGTTCTCCGTATTCCTCACTCTATGGTTATCTCCAGAGGTAGCAAGTGCTCCCAGTTGGATAGTTTCTAAAAAAAAAACTGCAAACACCTGCTTTTCGATTTCACTTTCCACTCCCTCGTACCAAATTTTAGGAAATGTTCAAAATGTAGACCGGTAAAAAATTCCCCAATCACTGCCTATTTTACATGAGCCAAGCTCAACAATCTACAGGGACTTAAATCATAAAGTGAAAGTACACAAATAAAAATCATGTTTACTCATACCACCGAAGTTTTGATGTTTATGTAAACCCAATCGTACCAAATACATGAATACTAATGGTGAGAGGGCATTTAGCTTAAATTTACCTACCTACCTACCTAATCATACCTACGTGTAATATTGTGTTTTAGATTCTTTGTTACAGTAATTTGACTGGAATATTTTATTGCTTTTATTTGCGCGATAATCGAAAACCAAAATGGCTATCATTTAGGCGTAGCGCCATCTCTCGCCCAGATTTCAGACTTTCAGATCTGAAACATTTATTTTCGCATAAAACCTAACCCTGAAACAAAACCCTGAAATTTCTATTAGTATAAAACAGGGAATAAGGACATTTGATCACATTTTGGTCCGTCATAAATGAAACACTTACCAAATTTTAATATCATCTCCATCTTCTATCACACCCAAGGTGAGCTATAGTGTCATTGACACTTTCATTTTCATCTCACAACGGATGCCTGGTTATTAGTACGACTATATAGACAATGTCACATTTTACATTTTGAGAGGAGTTTCCTTGTTTTGTTTGTGTTATAAAGATACTGATATAAAGACTGCAACAGATATTGACGAGTTAGGTGGTGCCCTGTGAAACTAGGCTTTTAATAATTATTATGTACATCGGAATGTTGTATTCAAACTAATGTTCAGTTTTGACATGATTTGAGTTTCTTCAAAATATCTTATACATTTACAAACACGTGTGTGTATTATGAAAAATTAATTCCAATTATTATTGCGAATTTGATTAGGTTTCTGCATCGATAGTTCAGTAACTTCACAGTAACAGTCTATTCGTAGTTTTCGTTATTTGTTCAGTTTTACGAAACGTTTTTCCATGCCTAAAAATGAAATTACGTGTTCAAGGTCGATCGTTGCATCCAAATGCGAACAATCTTTATGCGGGGAAAAACAGAACGAATTTCTGGACGTTTACCTGCATTTTGCGACTGCGTTCTCACCATTTGTCGCGTAAGCTTCGGCTGTGAACTCTCAGAGAACTTTTCGGAAATGGCAAATTATGAGCTGCGCAGGCAATTTGCTGCACTAATCGGTGCACGGAGTTATTACCGTGTGCACAGTCCGTCTGCCATGACTGCCTGTGACGGGGACGGGGGATTTCACCACACGATTCGCTTCATGGCTCGTGTCGAGTGTGAGGCATGAGGAAGGAAGGGACAGAGGGAGAGCGAGAGGGAGAGAGAGAGAGAGAGAGAGAGAGAGGAGGGAGAGAGAGGGAGCGAGCAAGGGAGAGAGGGAGCGAGCAAGGGAGAGAGGGAGTGAGAGCGAGATCAATAAAACGAGAGTGAAAGGGAAGAAGGAGTGGGATGCAAGGCATATAGAAGGGAGAAATAAGGGGAGAGGAACGGGAACAGGGAATGTGAAATGGCCGAGGAGAGTGTCTGTGGAGCAAGAGATAGGGAACTCTTGAGTTGTTTAGGTCTTAATTTTATTGAAGAGTGGGATGAAACGATTTAAGGGAGTTGAAGAGAGTGAGAAAGGGAGGGCGGTAGGGAAAGTGAGAAAGAGAAAGAATGGACAGTGAGAAACAGAGATTAAGAGGCAAGAGCTGCAGATTCTACAACTTCTTCATTATTATGCTATACTTTGGCTTTTTTTTCAAGTTAATATAATTGCTATGCTATTATAACGCTGTTAACTTCAACCTGTATAAGGCAAACAGAAATTGTAATATTTAATATTGTTAACTGATTGCAAGAAAAAAATTATGTCAAAGGATGAAATTATTATATATATCGTCAGTCGCAACAGGTGAACAGCTTTGATGCTGTTTCAGGGACGTTCAGTGTGTTCCAGTGAAATATTCAGTTGTTATGCAGTGACCAATAGCTATTATCGATTTATTTGAGCGGGCACATAAACTTTACATTTACATATGAAGTGCAGCAATTGGCTAACCTTTTGACCTAAGCAAAATAGAATAAATATAGCTAGTATACACACGTTTACTAAGAAGCATTGTAATACTGATTCCATACAAATTCTGTAACAAATTCTAATTAATTTGTAGATTGCTTCATACAATTAAAAATGTTATCTGATGTAAAACCGAACTTACATCCTCAATGCTCTTTCTCATAACGTTTACCACTTTCCTCGTTTATAAACGGCATACTTTCTTACCCGTAGCCACATCTGGCTAGTATAGAAATATAGTAGTATAGTCTAGTAGAGAGTAGTAGGCTAGCAGTTTACTGTTACTAAAACATGCACCTATTCTCATAGGCTTTTGTTAGGCAATGTGTTTTTTGTCTGATTTGGAACTGTATTGGTATCTTAGCCAATGTAGAGCGCGGATGTCCTTCAGTATTAAAAATGCGCTTCAGGGATGGGATGTAGTGACTCATTGCTGTGAGAGAGGACCAAGATGACACCGAATTGAGTGTATGTTATCTTGCAGTTAGCATCTGTTGCCTGTACAAATATGGGCAGGAAAAACAATAAAATAATATCGCACAACGAGAATAATGCACGGATTTTTCTCATCCCTATTCTAATCCGGATTTTTCTCATCCCAATACTATAGGGGTCATTTGTTTTTCTAACAAGAACCTAAATTTTTTAACCTTATTCCTGATTCGAAAAGAAAGCAGAGTTAGTTGTCGTCGTAGCCCGTGGCTACCTACCTCAACCGTAAGCTGTGCCGGAATGCACTCTCCTGACCCGATTGCAATCAATTGTGCTTGATTGCCTTCGCGGATCTAAAGGGCAGTTTTACTGCCACGCAAACCGCAAACGCCGGCGAACCTGTTTAATTACGAACAGTTTAATTATCATAATGCAGTTGTTATTACGTCGTGTTTGTTCTGTTGCTGTTTGCAGAGTTGGTTTGCTTTGCCTCTTTGTTGTAGGCTAATTCAATAGCGACGGCTCATGTTTATTCTTAAATGCTAATATTGAACGCGTCTTTTCGCGCTAATGTTTTACTCGACCATTATTAAAAAAAAGTTTTTCTCATCAGCGCGGCTGCTGATGTTAAACTACGAAATTTTAAAAGAGAATGATGATTAGGGTAATTACAGGTGATAAACGTGCCATCAGATAAGAATGGCAACGTTGCTTGATGGGTCGCTCCCACGTGATGGTGAAAACTCTGTGAACAGTTCATAGGCGTGACAGTGTGTGTGTGTGTGTCTGTGCGTGCGTGCGTGCGTGCGTGCGTGCGTGCGTGCGTGTGTGTGTGTGCAGGAATGAAAATTATAGGAAAAATTGCGTGAGCGTGCATATTTAAATTGTATGCAAGTGCACAATACTTACACGTTATTAATATTGTATGTGATTGTGTGAGACTCTGTGTTCTGTTTCAACTGCATGAAATATGATGCTCGTAATATCATATAACTGCTATTTTTATGGCGTGACTATACATACTACTTTCTTGTTAGTGCACATCTCTGGAACGCGAATTCGACAACCTGGCCAAGGGAGGACAGCCGGGAAAGGTGGATGGCAAGTGTGTCTACTGTAAATGCACCAGCTGTGCCCCCAATGTCCAGGTAGGCCATTATTTCATCTTAAAACATGCCAGGTACGCGTGCGTGCGTGCGTGCGCGCGTGTGCGTATCTATGCTCTCATTTCATATACCTAGGTATCATAACAGAGTAATAATAAATGCATTATTACGAAAAGTACCATTTGGGCTGTCATTTACATTTCTTACACGAGTATACAGACCTATACGAGAATAACTAAGCGTTTCTATCACCTCACGAAAGACAGTTAAGCAGGCTATGGCATAGCAACCCCCTTCAGCGTTCGTATGCCGAGTCATTGCCACGTGTCCGTACAATGCTGCGTTTTGGCGTGAGGTATAAGCGAATGACGGTCGCGTGATTCTTCCCCAGCCTCTTCCTCCGCAGTGGTGATGCTGCTTGATGTCTGCATGTTTTCTGGCAGTCTGTGCCGAAATTGATTTTGCCGGCAGATGAATGCGTGCTGTGGCGTGACAGACAACCGTGCTACGCATCCCAACTTATTAGCATTGATTAGTCGTGACAATTATTGGATGCTGGTTGTCATTGTTGTTTTCGTATAATAAATATGCATTGCTGTTAGCATAATGTGCAACATTCAAGCGGCGCGAGTAAACAGCCAGAATAACAATCGTATAATTACACGCAGCGACTATGGGCGCAGCGGGGAAGGCGGCAAGGGATTTCGTCGAGCCATTTTGCGCGAATAATTAGTTGCAGATGGTAACTGGAAATTTTCGTGAGAAAGTATTTCGTCGGCGCGGCGTAATTTCGCGCCGGCTTCTCAATGCTGGCTATTGTGCGGCGCTTTTTTTCCAGCAATTGTTGCCTCGTTAAGCCGCGTGATGCGCAAGATTTAAACCAGTTGACTGCGTTTCATCGGGCCGCCGCCACTGCTCGCTTACAGTCAGCATGCTCGCTTGCATCGCGGCAGCTGCTTCCGTGGCTTTGGTCAATTATATTGCATACGCTTCTCGATTAGAACTCGTTTCAGTTTCACTGGTTACCGTTTTTATGGGTTTAGTACCGAACTCGCCTTTAATGTGAACTTGATTCAGTTTCCATAGTTATTGTTACCATGGCAACCGACTTCAAATTTGCCCTTAGTACGTGGTCTTGATCAAGCGAGCTAACCAACAACCTGTTGGCCTGTTAGCACCAAGGAGCTAAATATAACAAGGAGAGGAATCGGATTGGCTGTGTGCTTTTCGCCTCAAGGGTGCCATCTATGGACCATAATCAGCTGAAACGGCTGTGCAGACCGTTTTCGCCTCAAGGGTGCCATCTATGGACCATAATCAGCTGAAACGGCTGTGCAGACCGAACCCAGAGACAATAGAACACTAATCTGTTCTAGGGTCTCTACCGAACCCAAATTTGGGCCAGATATGGCGGCGCTTCCTCTCCTTGTTATATTTAGCTCCTTGGTTAGCACTACGTCAACGTTTTTTGCTGGTGTGGTTATTCATGACTTTGTCACTGCAATGTAGTATTTTTTCGTGCAATTGGACTGTGCGTGTTGCTTGTTAGCTGCATTCCCATAGCTGACAATTAGCTTGCTCTTTTTTCTACCATTCGCCATTAAAGGATTAACTTAAAAGCTTCTGTACTGGCTTAAGGTGGGCCTAGACACGCTGCACAAATACAAACCTCATTCTACCTGCTAGAAAAAAACCATACACTGACATGAAGGCAGTTTGAAGTGCGATAGTCATGCAGTCTGTTTGAATATCTGATTCGTCCTCACCGTCTCTCTCTCTCTCTCTCTCTCTCTCTCTCTCTCTCTCTCTCTCTCTC